GTAGACTGGACAGGGAAAATGTCGCATATGTACACTATGGAATACTATGCAGCCGTCAAAAACAATAAGTTTGTGTCCTTTGTAGGGACACGGATGAACCTGGAAACCATCATTCTCAGCAAACTGACACAAGAGCAGAAAATCAAACACCGCATGTTCTCACTCATAGGTGGGTGTTGAACAATGAGAACACATGGACACAGGGGGAGCATCACACACTGGGGTCTGTAGGGGGGAAATAGGGGAGGGACAGCGGGGGGTGGGGAGTTGGGGAGGGATAACATGGGGAGAAATGCCAGATATAGGTGAAGGGGAGGAAGGCAGCAAATCACACTGCCACGTGTGTACCTATGCAACAATCTTGCATGTTCTTCACATGTACCCCAAAACCTAAAATGCTATTAAAAAAATACTCTGCAAAAAGCTTTTTAAAAAATTATATTTTGAGGTGTTTTTTGTGGGGTTGGGGAGATTGGTGGTATTCTTTGTTGGTCGGGGCATTGGAGAGATGCTCATATACTATTGTTGAGAAACAACTAGTATAGGTATTGTAGAGGCCCCATACTTAAGTTGACAGAAATCCTGTCACATATGCCCAGTGAAGGATGACAAAGGAAGGATGACAAGGGTTTTTATTTAGCATTGCTTGCGTTTGTTTAAAAAACAAACCCAAATGTCCAACAGTAACAGAATGATAAATTCTGATACCTATGTTACTTTGTGACAGTAAAATTAAATTGCAGTCAGATCAAATGTACTGATGTGGCAAGATGTCTTAGACATTTTTAAATGAGTCCAAAAAGCAATTTACAGAACAATATATACAGTGTTTTAATGTGCTTACACATAAAACTATTTCTGTGTGTTAAGACTGTCCCTGATTTATGACATGGTTCAACTTCATATTTTTTCAGTTTTATGATGGTGCTAAAGTGATAACCTATTTGTGTATGAAGTATGCTCCTCTATTTACAATGGGGCCACATCCAGTTAAGCCTGTGCTAACTCCAAAACTTACTTTAGACCTAATGGTATTTTCAACTTACAATGGGTTTATTTAGAGATATCTCCATCATAAATTAAGGAGCATCTGTATGTATAAATAGCTTTAACTTCATTGAAAGATGTCTAGAAGGATACACCTAAACATTACAGCACTGGTTAGACTAGTAAGGAGTGACCTGTATTGTTCGTTCATCAGGGGCTTTTATTTTGATATCTTTTGTTGCATTTGTTGTAATAACGCATTCAGGATATTTTATACATTTTAAAAATATAAACATCACTTCTCAGCAGCTGTGCTCCTTCAGGCTTGGAACATTTAAGCAATCTAAAGTTTGGCATTCAGAAATTCATCTCTTGTGTCGGGTGTGTGTGTGTAAATTTATAAGTATTTGCAGAAGAATGACAAGAATAGCACAAAGAACCCCCAAGTAGCTTCACTCTAATTCCCTATTTGCTGACATTTTACACACTTGCTTTCTCTTTCTGTCAGCCATTATTCTTTTTCTGAGCCATTTAAGACTTCTCACCACCGTGTATTTCCCCAAAGAAACAACACTCTCCTACCAACACTCTAAATTTTCCAGTGTGTATTTCCCCAAAAGAAGTACACTCTGCTCCTTAATATATACATTTAAAAGTTTTACGCATTCTAAACACCCGGTTGTATATACTGTTCTGCACCTGGTTTTCCCTGCCCCCCACGCTCCTCTCCAAAATGCAGTTATTCACATCAAGAAATTAACATTGATAAAACATGATGCTATAATCCACAGGACCCATTCAATTTCCCCACCTCTCCCAGCAAGGTCTCTTTTTTCCTTCTGGTCCAGGATTTAATCAAGGGTCATGGCTCCATTTGCTTGTGTCTCCAGTTTTCTTCATCCTGGGGTAATTACCCACACGTTCTTTGTCTTTCAAGACCTTGACCATTTTAAAGAATAAGGCCTTTCTTTGTGTAGAATGTCCTTCAGCCTAGGTCCATTTGATGTTTCCTCATGTCCGGACTCAGGCCAAGCAGTATTGGCACAAATATTACAGGCACGATGCTGTGCTCTTTTTGTTGCATCAGTCAGAAATCACATGAGAGTGGCCTGCTTTAACTGTTCCTCACGTTAACCTTGATCACAAGTCAAGTTTGTGTCGGCTGAGTTTCTTCACTGCAAAGTTACTATTTTTTTCTTTGTAATTGATAAGTAGTTTATGGGGAGATCCTGTGAGACTGCCAGTTCCTCATTCCATTCCTCATCAAACCTGCACGCATCAGCCTTAGCGTTCATTTGTGATTCCTGTCTGAATCAGCTACCACTGTAATGGTTGTCAGGTGGTGATTTTTCTATTTCCATTACCCTTCTTGATTATTCTTTGGCACTCTACCATTAATGAGCTTTCCCTTCTATTTATTTAATCTGTGTGGTCTCATGGCTTCCTATTTTTGTAACAGATTACAACCCATTGAATATCACTGTTTACTTTGATGTTCATATTGTCTCATATTTGACTAGTGGGAACCCATTAGTGTGGTTTCTGTGTCATTTCTGCTTGCTCTGATCATTCTTTTTGCACTTCTTTACTGTGATAGGCTGAATAGTAGTCCTCCAAAGATGTTGACTTCCTAATCCCCAAGCCACTTAGGTTATCCACATGGGCCAATGTAATCACAAGGATTTTTAAAATAAGGGTCAGATGTGCACATCTCCTTCATCTCTGCTTTCTCTGACCCTATTATCTAATAACCCATGGTAAGGAAGCAAAGGGTCAGAGAGAAAAATACAAAGATGCCACACCACTGGGCTTGAGGATGGAAGAACAGTCATGAACTTGTTTATTTTGTCTGTTGTTAGGATGAGATCCAGACATTTTTCTTTTCTGCATGGATTTTTCTTAAGCTACAAACTAAGTTACATTTTCTAATTACTAATTGTTCCCCTACCCTCTTGAATTCTAACATGATTCTTTTAATAGCCTACGGATGGAGACACCTGATTTCCACTTTTACTGGAGCCACTTTGGAAAACAAAAAAGTACAAAATAATGTGCTTTTTATAAATTTTGTGATAAAACTTTGCTAGGAAGCTTATAAAGACTCAAATTAAGGCTGCAAATTACCTCGGTGATTATAGTTAGATTTCCTGCAGTCTGACAGTTTGAGTGTTTAAGGTAGTTTCAATAGCAAGGGTAAAATAGGTACAGGTATTGATCGACTTACGACCTATGCAACTTACGACCATTCGACTTTACGACCACAATCGCTAGCCACGACTGCTCCGCATCTGGCAGCGCAAACGTTGCCCAGCTGGGCGTAGACAGTGCGGACCAGCTTCCGGCAGCACTACCATCTCCGCATGCATATAGCCTACTCAACTTACGACCAAATCGTGTTACGACCAGTGTGTCGGAACCAATCGTGGTCGTAAGTCGAGCACTAGCTGTATCTGGGCTATTACTTGTATCAATTGTTATGGTAAATCTGTACTCCCAGGATTACAGCCCATGTTTCTGGAACATTGGTATCAAACTGATCAAGTTGGTATGTTGATCCGTAAGTTCTTTAAAACTTCTTTTATATACCAGAAGGTCCCAAGGGTTTTAAGAGGGGCATTTTGAAAGTGAGAGGTTAGTTAATAGTAAATAGTAATTAGTAAATTTTAGATTCAGCGAAACCAAGGTACACATTCTAGGAGTGATACTTCTTAGCTGACAGCTATGAGCAAGTCCCTTAATTTCTCTAAACTTAAGTTACTTTATTTTTAAAATAGAAAAATTTTAGTTCTTTTATTTCTAAAATTGAGATGATACAAGGTTGTGAGGATAAAATGAGAGTATGTAAATAAAATGCTATTCATGTAATAAATGTTCAATAAATGGCAGCTGTTAGAGTAACTTATTACAGTGCAAATGAACTCTGATGATAATCTCAACAGGTAAGCATTTCTCTCTGTTTTTGAGACGGAGTCTTGCTCTGTCAACCAGGCTGGAGTGCAGTGGCACCATCTCAGCTCACTTGCAGCCTCTACCTCCCAGGTTCAAGTGATTCTCCTGCCTCAGCCTCTCAAGTAGCTGGAATTACAGGTGCCCACCACCTGGCCCAGCTAATTTTTGTATTTTTAGTAGAGAAGGGATTTCACCATATTGGCCAGGTTGGTCTCTAACTCCTGACATTAGGGGATCTGCCCGCCTCCACCTCCACCTCCCAAAGTGCTGGGATTATAGCGGGGAGCCATTATACCTGGCCCTTAAGCATCATTTCCCCTTAAGCATGTAATTCCTCCATGAATAAACTGAAGTTATTTTCCATTCTGTTCATTCTTTGTTTCTTTCAAGAAATTTTAAAGTATACATGGGGTTGATCAGATTGTATTTTAATTTTACATATTTATATTACATTTTGTAAACTATCCAGCAAATAGAGAGTGCATATTAATGTTAATACTGAAATGGTGTTTCTAAATGTTCCATGTCAGTGTTCTTTCTATATTCAAAATTATTTCAAAGATGCATTGTTTCTTAAAGCAGTGATAGCATTTTTGCTGTTAGTATGCAATGTAGTCAAGGCACAATTAGTTTGACACCAAGGTGGTTATCGTATCATTACGTTAGACTGCAATTTAACTTTAGTGATATAGTAATTACTTCTGCCAGTTTTAGTCGTTCTTGTTGTAATAAGAATTTAAAAAGGAGAAAAGTATATTCAAATGTAGGCTTTTATTATTAAACATTTATGTCAGGTGGATATTCCATAGAGATGTAATCTTGACTCAGTTGTTAGAAAACAGATAAAATAAGAAATATAAGATCTCTGCTTCAATAAGACTGGCCGGATTGTGATTATTTCACCATAATGGCAACATCTGCCAGGGAAATTAAAACAAAATTTCCTCCCTGAGGAGATTCTGCCTGCTCCAGCTAAAGCTGTGTCTATACAGGGAATGCCAGGAAATTCTGACATATTGTTGGAGCAAACGCTTCAAAAGTATCTTGTGTTTTTTCTGTTTTAGCAACTTCACTGTGTGGTGGTTGGAAGTGAAAATGCCAAACGATATTTTGAAGCAGTTCAAGGATCAAAAGAGCATCAAGGAGAGCTTTTTGGGATCCATAACCTCTTCAAACTAAGGTCTCAAGGGTCATGTCTTACAAGGGACATCCTGGAGGTGTGAACTTCTTCTCTGACCTTTTCAATAACATTTTAAATATAGTTTTTCTTCCTCAGGAAACTTGAAATACAGTTGCTGTTGCCTTTTCAGAGAAATTTCTGGCTTTCTTTATCAAAAATGCCTTGGAATTACTACTTTTAGAGAGTAAGAAATGAATTATTTTATCTCTAAACTAAGATTTTCCTTAGAGTAATTATAAATAATGTACACACACAAACACATATACTAGGTAGTATGTACTGCAAGGGCATTTTAAGATGGGCAGAGAGAAGTTTATTGTTTTGAAAACAGCTGTTGAAGTCAAGAACTAAAAAAAGAGGTTTTCCTAAATAAACAAAACATAAAATGTGTTCTGATTAAAAGTTACCAAATACTCCCTGAGATGTACTCTCATGTTTCATGGAGATTTTTTTCTGTTCCCAATAAAAATTCCACACCAATATTTTAAACTCTCCCCGTTGTGTTCATCCTCAGCATACAGTTGTTTCTTATTCTTAAAACAAAAGATTTTATATCCTTTTTTAAAAAGGTCTTTAAGTTCTTTTATATGCCAGCATACTAAGGATTCTAACCTATTTTCTAATTGATATTCATATAGGTATCATAAAATCCTGGAATATCATCTTTTTCTTCCTCCTCATGGTATAGATGAGGAAACTGAGTCTTAGAGAACTTCAGGATATTTTCCTTGACTTCCAGGACTTTGTAGTAAAATCTTAATGTACTTCATTTATTCAGTAAGTACCATAAAGACAGTTCAAGGCAAAATTGGTTCCTGTCCTTGAGGAACTTAAACCATCTTGACGGGAGGTAGAAGAGAACGTTTACATAGTAACCATGTAATGTCAGGAATCAAATGCTAAGCAAGTTCAGCAGTAAACTTGGATGGATGGGGGAGAAGAAGGTGTATATTATTTGAATCCTATAAATATTACTATTATACAATTTCTGATGTATACTGCTGAGTTTCTATTTTATAGTAACTACATTTGATTCTGAATTGAGTGGCCCATTTGGAGTCCCACATTTTGTATTTTTCCCCCTTGCTTTTAAATATGCTGTTTCTTTCATGAATTTCTTCTTTTCAGCTCCTCTCTTCATATCAACAGCTTTGTTTGCCCTCTAGCTCCCACACCCAGCTGCCATCTCCATCTAAAGTACTACTTGACATGCCTATATTCATGTTAAAATCGTCTATAAAAATATTAGCATGACATTATTCTGTTTTCTGTCATATATGACATAGTTATCTGTTTTGTCAGAATAACCACCTATTCCTTTGTTAAACAAGTGTTCTATAAGATATATCAGGATGACAAGTTATTAAGTAAAGAAAGTTCTCTTTTTCATTGTGCCACTGTACACCAGCCTGGGTAACAGAGCAAGACTCAGTCTCACACACACACACAAATGTCCTCTTGTTCACTGGTTATTCTAAGAATATCTTATTTCACCTTCAGAAGTGTTTATTAATGACAGGACCATCCGTGTCTTACATTTTATTTTTAAAAAATACCTAAGTTCTTCAGTATGCCAGAACACGAAGGATATTAACCTATTTTCTAATTGATATTAATAAAGGGTGACAAGGCCATCCATGTCCTGCATTTGTCTTGCTAGGCATATCATTGGCACTTGATTATTAAGTTAAATTTTAAATTAAAATTGCTCATTTGTCATCAATCAGAATTTAAAATTATTCAGGGTTGGTTAGATTCATGCTGCTTTGGGCCAAAAGGTGATTCGAAACGTTATTATTTCAAGCCCCATATAGTGGAAGCACATATCATAAAGTAAAAGAAGTATTTCATTTCATGTGAGACATTTTTAATTTTTAAAGGTTGTATAAAATCTTTTTAAAAATGTTTTAAGATGTAAAAATTTGAATTTTTATACTTTTTAAAAATCTTATGATTTCTGGGCAATTTCGTTCTATTTTGCATTGACTTTCCATTGTCTATATTATAGTTTCTCTTCAAAGATAGATATTGAGAGTTCATTTTACAAGTATTTATTGAGCATCTGTGAAATGTCAGGTACTGTTCATAGAGCTGTGCTTACATAAAAGAACAAAATAGACAAAACAATCCTGTCTACCAGAAGTCTGCATTCTATGTGGGGAGGCCAATGACAAACAGAATAAATAAGTGAAATACAGATTATATTATGCTAGGTTCTGAGGAACTGTCAAGGAAGGAGCATTTTTAGATGGGGTATCCAAGGAAGCCCTCACTCTGAAGGCCGCATATGAATATTCAAAGAGGTGAGGGAAGAAGGTGTGTTTTTGACAGGGGAAACAAATGCAGAGGTCCTAAGGGAGGAGCATGCCCCATGTGATATCACAATTTCAGGGAGGCCACACTGGTTGCGGTAGAGTATGCAAGAGAGCAAGAGATGGGGCAAGAGAGATGACGGAGAGCCAGGCCATGCAGGAACTTTCGACTTTTACTTGAGTGAGACAAAAAGCAATTAAAGAGTTCTGCATAGTCTGATATACATTAACTTGACTTACTGTTGAAAACTAGACGATAGAAGTACAAGGACAGAAGCAAGAACCCATTTAAGAGGATACTGCAGTAACCCAGCCAGGGTGAAGTGGTGGGTGGCGTGAGTAGTGGCTGGATGCTGTATATATTATCCAGGTGGCACTGACAGGATTTGCTGATGGGTCACATACAGGGTATGAGAAAAAGAGAGGAGTTAAGGATGGCTCCAAGGTGTTTGGGCCTGAGCAGCTTAAAACTGGAGTAGCCATTTATCTATGTTATAAAAAGAGTTTCAACAGCTTTCAGATTTCTAGTACTGCCACTTTCACCTGTTGTAGCCATTTAGCTTCTGTTACGGAGATAAATGGTAGCCTGGGAATGAGGCTTCCCATCCCATTGCTATAACAGCCTCGAGGAATGGGGAATAAAGGACTTGTAGTAATTCAGAAACTGTTTATCATTCCCTAGAGTTCCATAGAGGAGATTCTCCCTCATTGCCCTGGATGCCAGGTAGCTGGACCATGCCATTAGTATGTCTGTGTATTCCTAAGTTGGGCATTTGTAACTGGTAATGGTAGTATTATTTCTTCTTGCTCTGTCAACAAATACAGCCTTAAAAAAAAATGATTTCCTTTTGAGGAGAATTTAGTATTCTAGAATCTAGACCATTAGAACTCCAGCTAAATAATACAGCAGAAGCTTTAAAGTGCAAATACTTTCCCAAAAGTGTAGCAAACCTGTTATATAACTAAAATACTGCTTTTAATTTTATATTAGATGGACCTTTTTATTTTGATGTCTACTACACCTAAGGGGTATTTTTAAATGAATATGAACAAGAAATACAGTAACAATATAGGCTAGGATATCAAGTTTCCAATATTCAACATTGTGGTGTTTAAAATGTTAATATGTCCTTACCATAATTATTATATGGGAATGGTTGTTACGGATATTATACTGGGTAAATATATAACATTTCTTCACTCTCTCTCTCCCCATTAGTACTTTTAATGAAGTTGGCTGGAAAGTATTAGTTTTCTGTGTCTGAAAAAGTAAACTTTAAGAATTAGGAGTATTTTAAAATGTTACGTAAACCTTTGTATATGATTAGCAGGTTGAAAGATAACATTAAGAATGCTATGGCATGCACTGCTGTTGTTTGTCCGGTTGTGCTGCCCGCTGTGTTGCATAGCTATTTGCATTCTTTCTTACTGACGTTATGTAGAGAGAAGGCCAAGTGGAAGCAGGGATCATGACAGCCACAACATGGTTGAAAGAGGGACCTCCAGCACACAAACTAGAAATGGTAAGTTAATATTTGAATCTGAAGCCTGCAACACCTAGAAAACATGTACTGTGACAATTTTGTTTCTTTTCCTTTTTCCTTCACTTTTCAACCTATAAGAAAAAAAAAATTAAGAGTCAAGGACACAAAGTCAGAGGAGTATGGATAAAATTAGTAATGTAGGCTGATTTAACATTCATATCATAAGAACAAATTCAGGAGCAGTTCAGGCATTTACAGCCAAACTGAATTTTAACTACACCACACTGAAAATATAGTACCACCTAGTTAAGTAACCCATCCCAAATAAACAATTTTTGACTAAATGGTAAGTTAAGTGGAAAAATCACCATCAATGTATATTTAAAATTATTAAACGCAAATATCAAAATTGGTCTCATTCAAAGTGGATATTTTATTTTATTTGATGCCTTAATTTTGTGATCTTTATAGTAGTTTGCCATCTCATGTACCACAAAATCTTTATTGTCATTACAAGGCCATCTTAAAGGTAAAAAATATGTGTGGAAGGTTTTCTTGTTAATATTGCTGGTTTTTTCTTGTTTACTTGTAGAGTATTAACTATCAATTTATACCAGCCCAATGACGATAAATTTGGGGTGAAATTTTTATGAATTTAGAGAAGTACACAAATATCAAATATTGGCAAAAATATTACCAGATAATACTTTCCCACAATCTTTTACTAGTAGAGCCTCAGTTTTAGAAAACTGTAAGATATATTTAACTCTGATTATTGTGAAAAAATTACATATTGAATTTAAATTTGTAGCAAATTTTATTTCAAGAGTCTTTATTTCTGGTGATCAAGATCCTGTTAGCCTTTTAAATCAATTAGAACAATTTTCCAGTTATCAGTTCTTTACCTTGTTAACTCCTGTAATCTGTCTTATTCTTAAAGCATGATTGGAAGTATATGCTAGACTACAGTAAACTCCAGTAATTCTGAAGCAGCAAGTTGTGTGCTTTTCACTTTTGAGGCCAGAATTATGTGTCCTTGCATCTTAGAAGCCAAACACTTCACTTTATGTTTTTCTTCAAAATACTTTGATTATGTGGTACTCTAGTTTAAACTTTTATTTATTTTGGAACAATATTCAACATGGAAAGAGAAAAGACTGTACTAGACTATGATATTAAACGCTTTACATTTATTTATTAAATGTTATAAATACTAAGTGATATACTTGTACCTAAATTACCTGCCCAAAGTTGTTCAGTTGATTCCTTATTATTACCTTGAGGTTTTCTGAGGTTTTTATCATTGCTTCTTCTATAGCCTACAGAGCCTGACTGTCAGGAACGCAGAGGTCCAGAGCAAGCTGCAGAGCCACTGGCAAAGGAAGTGTATGATTTCTGCAGCGACTTCAGTGATGAAGATCCAGTGGGAGTTGCAGGAGTACAGACTGCCAAAAACAAAGCACCCGATTCAAGTAAAGCTTCCGCCTCTCCAGGACAGCTTACTTTACTCCAGTGTGGTTTCTCGAAATTGTTTGAGACAAAATGTAAAGCAGTTGAGGACAGTGATGGAAATACTGCTTCTTCTGATGAAAGTTCTGATGAGCAGCCCATATGCCTTTCAACAGAAGCCACAGTAGCTGATTGTGAGAAAAATCAGGACTCTCTTGGTACTTCAAAACATCAGAAATTAGATAACATCCTAAATCTAAGAGAAAAGTATATTTTTTATAAAAATGAGAAGATTTTAGAACAGAAAATTTCTTCTAAGTCTGATGATGAGAAAAAATTTAGAAATACAGATAAACATTGCATTTTACAGAATGTCTCAGAATCAGAAGATAGTGATGTCATCTGTCCTACACAATATCCAACTGAGAGATTCCCCAACAATAGTATAAAGTTTAAGCCACCCTTGGAGGAATCTGAGGATTCTGAAACAGAACACTCTGTAAAAACAAGAAATGATGATGATGGTCGAAAGACTGGTGACAGAAGAGATGGAATAATTTCAAAAAAGTTAAGTCCTGAGAACACAACCCCGAAATCTATTTTGAAAAGAAAAGTCACTAGTGATATCAGTGATGAATCTGATGACATTGAGATTTCTTCCAAGTCAAGAGTAAGAAAGAGAGTTACTAGTTCATTGAGGTTTAAGAGAAGAAAGGAAACCAGGAAAGAACTTCACAGTTTTCCTAAAACAATGAGCAAAACAAACCAAGGACGTGCAAGAGATGAGGATCATAACTCTCAATTTATTGATGATTATTCATCCTCAGATGAAAGTTTATCCGTCAGCCACTTCAGTTTCTCTAAACAGAGCCACAGACCAAGAACTATAAAAGATAGAACCAGTTTTTCTTCAAAATTGCCTAGCCAAAATAAGAAAAATAGCACTTTGATGCCAAGAAAACCAATGAAATGTTCAAATGAGAAAGTTGTCAATCAAGAGCAGTCATATGAATCAATGGATAAATTTTTAGGTAACCAAAGACACATTATGAAAACTTTTAAAAATATGTTTTGTTTTATCAAATAGTTCTGTGAGGAACTTTGAATCAAGATGCTAGATTGAGACATAAATAAGGAAGGGCTGGGTGGCAGGATAAATGGGAGACCACATATAGGTCAAGATAGAGAATGTTGCCGTCTACCCACGGACCCCCTCCATGTGCCTGTCCAAATCACAGCTCCTCTGCCCCCATAAATACCAATTATTCTAGCTTCTATAGTAATTACTTATTTACATTATATGGTTATATCACCAAATGTTCATATGTAGGTGAATTAGTTCATTTTCACGCTGCTGATAAAGACATACTTGAGACTGGGAAGAAAAAAGGGTGTAATGGATTCACAGTTCCACATGGCTGGGGAGGCCTCACAATCATGGCAAAAGGCAAGGAGCAAGTCACGTCTTACATGGATGGTGGCAGGCAAAGAAAGAGAGCTTGTGCAGGGGAACTCCTCTTTATAAAACCATCAGATCTCGTGAGACTTACTGTCATGAGAACAACATGGGAAAGATTCAGTTACCTCCCACCAGGCTCCTCCCATGACACATGGGAATTGTGGGAGCTACAATTCAAGATGAGTTTTGGGTGGAGACACAACCAAACCGTATCACTAGGTATTATGGTTTAGTCTCATTCATTTTTTAAAATGTTATATAGTGTCTTCTAATCTACAGGAATCCTCATCCCTTTAATTGCCTTACAATGTAACTGTGGAAGTACCTGGATCAACTCTAGAAGTTTCCCTCAATTTTCATTTTGCTAATTGTATCCTCTCCATGCATTTAAACATGCTCCTCTGTCCTCTATTACCTGTGAAAGAGCAGTTGGTTCCTGAGACTGGATCAACATTCAGAGTTTGTTTTTGCCTATACTCTCCCTTTTCTTCCGTTTCTAAAATGGATATACTACATCTTTACTGTCAAAGACACAGACATTGCATCATATACTCTCCCCACTTACACTTCAGTTACTCTTGGTCCATAGGTAACTACACATTTCATGCACTCCATCAGTCCTTAGTGCCAGTGTTCCTTGCATCACTCTGATTGTCCGAATCTTACTGTCTAGTAGATTCCTGAAGAAGTGTTTATGAGAATAATATTCCCTGAGATTCTTACAACAATTTAGTGCCCTTATACTTAACAGTTAAGTTTTGCTGGATGTAAAATACTTGGCTCACATTGTCTTTTCTTGAGTGTCTTGAAATACATAGCTTCGTTTTCTTCTGGCATAAAGTGTGGTATTATGTGTTCTTTTTTTTTTTTTTTCCTCCTTAGATTACCAGGGGATTTTTTTTCTTTTCATTGTCCAATAATTTTACTAGATGGTGTGTTGATGTTGGTTGTCCTGGGTCTGTATTCTTGTATACACAGTGTTGCTTCCACTCAAATTTTCTTTTGGGAAAGACTTTCTTATACTAATGTTTTTAGTTACTTGTTCTATTCCTTTGCTGTGGCCTTCTTCCTTAGGGACTCCTGTTACTCAGATGTTCAGTCATCTTTGCCTGAAGTCTCTCAAATCTTTTATCTCTTCATTTCATTTTGCTTTTTTAAAATATTCTGTTTTTCTTAAGGCTTATCTGTTGTGTTTATTCCCTCTTATGTTTCTTCTAGTTCACTCATTTTTTATTTTTATTTTTTTATTTTTATTTTATTTTATTTTTATTTTTTCCCATTTATTTATTTTATTGCATTTTAGGTTTTGGGGTACATGTGAAGAACATGCAAAATTGTTGCATAGGTACACACGTGGCAGTGTGATTTGCTGCCTTCCTCCCCATCACCTACATCTGGCATTTCTCCCCTTGCTATCTCTCCCCAGCTCCCCACCCGCCACCGTCCCTCCCCTATTTCCCCCCAACTGGCCCCAGTGTGTAGTGCTCCCCTCCCTGTGTCCATGTGTCCTCATTGTTCAACACCCGCCTATGAGTGAGAACATGTGGTGTTTGATCTTCTGCTCTTGTGTCAGTTTGCTGAGAATGATGGTTTCCAGGTTCATCCATGTCCCTACAAAGGACCCAAACTCATCGTTTTTGATAGCTGCATAATAT